GAATAGAACCCGATCTTTGACAAAATTCTCCATGAATTTTGCTCCACATGTGATGAAACTTCATCTCATTGCCCGTGATAGGGTCATGACTAATGTTCACCCAAGATTGACACAATGCAATATCTTCATTCGTTGACCACGAGCCTCCGACTTCAATAGAAGATGCCATTCGTTTTTTTTATACAAATGGAAAGTAGTAGAAAAATGTGAGTGGAGAGTAAAAAATATTGGAAGGAGAAGAGTTTGTATGGAGAATTGGTGTGGAAGTGAAAAATGTGAGTGGAGATAAAAAAATATTGGAAGGAGAAAAGTTTGTATGAAGAATTGGTGTGGAATGTTTTAGAAATGTGAGTAAAGAGTAAAAAATATTGGATGGAGAAGAAATTGTATGAAGATTTAGTGTGGAAAGTAAATAAAATGGTTAGGTATTTATAGAGAAAAAATACAGAATTTTTGGGTATTTTTTAAAAAAAATTTCAGAATTTTTTCGATTTTTTTTTTCAATTTTTTTAGCCAAAAAAACGAGGACCGTCGGATTTCTGGAAAAAAGTCATTGGAGAGCCCTCGTCGCGCCACATGGCAAACAACCGTTGGAGCTGTCAGTGGATGACGTCAGCGCACGGAAGTCAAATTTTTTTACCGTTGGCGCGTGTAATTCACGCGCCAACGGTAAAAAAAATTGACTGTTACCGTGCGCTTTCAGCCCGGGCAAGACTTGCCCTTGGGCTTCGTCGGGCTGGTGGGACCCACCTCGAAACCGGGCTACGGGCCCTGCGCTGGAGTTGCCTCGGGCTCCCTCTGGCAGCCTTTCCCCCGGGCTGGGCCATGCGCTGGAGATGCTCTAAGAGGTGCAGTGAGAATTGACCAATGATTTAGAGTGCAATGTAGCAAGTAAGCTTGTGTTTTTTTTAATTTTAACAAACGACCTTGTGGGTGGGGTATGGCCATTAAACACTTGCAATTTGCATAGCGTGGTTGAACAGCAGAGCAGAGCAGAGCGGCAGGCCGGGGGCAGACGATGAAATTGTTTGACGCACACTGTCACTTGCAAGACCCAAGAATCTTTGACAAGGCACCCCAATTGATTGCAGCAGCCGTTGATTCTGGCGTTGTTCGTTTTGCTGTTAATGGAGTCTCTGAGGTACCGCTTTCCATATCATACATTTTCTCTCTCCTTATTGTAATGCCTATGGCTGCTCAATCTTCTTCAACATCGTCATTTTAATAATTCCATTCAGAAAGATTGGCATTTGGTCAAGCAGATTAGTGAGTCCTATCCTTGCGTAATTCCCTGCTTCGGTCTCCATCCCTGGTAAATCTCTCTCTAGGTCGAGATTGAAGTTTTCGATTGTATTTTCTCCAACCCTTTCTTCTCTTGTATTGTATGTCACTAGGTATGTTGCAGAGAGGACACCCAATTGGCTCAACACTTTAAAACAATTCTTCGAGGCTACTCCCTCTGCTGCAGTTGGAGAGGTTGGTAGCTGCGGTCCATTGGCTTAAATAAACTTTTTTTACTTTATGTTTATATCTTCTGTTTTCCTGTATGCAAATGTACGATTCGGGTTTTAAGGGTTTTAATCAATGACTTCAAGTGAGGAGCTCTGTGTTGATAGTTCCTTAGACCATCTCCAATCATTTCCCTCCATATTTTCCCTTCAAAATCTAACTTGATATGATTTGAGGAACCCCAAACATAACTTGATGGGTGAAAAGTTCAGGGAATTCTCAAATTTGGGAAAGGCTTAGGGATGGGTGGGAGCACGATTACATGTCATTTTCCCTGATTAGGAAGGATTGGAGTAGCTCTAAGGTCAGTTTACTCCCTTCCTTCTAAATGAAATAATTAATTTCCATCAAATGCCCTTGCTCTCATTATATGAGTTCTTCCTACCCAAACTAAGACAAACGTTTTGTCTGTTACTTGGCTCTTGGGGTTGAACTTCTGCTTTACCCATTTGAGGGGCTTTCCTTGCTATCTTTAAGAACATTTATGAGCAAAGCTTTGGATGTGTCATCCTTATATCACCACTGCTATCTCTTTCTCTGATTTCTGGTTCTTTATGAGTCAGCCACATCAATTGTTTAGCTCACATGAAGTTCCTACTGGAATAATCCTATTCTTTGCAAGTATGAAATTTATAGGTTCCAAAGCCTCTATACACATGATTAAAGGCACCTCTAAATTCTAAGTTCTCATACAGTCATGTAAACCTTTCAGATTGGCTTGGACAAAGGTTCACAAGGGAAGAAGGTTGATTTCACAGATCAGGTTCTTATCATTCCAACTCATTTTTCCTAAATATTCATATAAGTTGGTCATCTCTTGTTCTTATCATCTATTGCTTCCTCTTGTTGTTATTGGTGGGGAACCCAGATTTGTGATTGAAAGTTTTCATGATAATCAAAAACTTCATTTTAAGATAACCTTGTGTTTTATTTTATCTAGAGGACATTATTTCTCAAATTATATCTCATAAGAGTCTTACTGGAAGCTTATTCCATGCAAGCATCTGGAGAAAAGAGCACTAGAGTCTTAAAGAGATGAAAAAAGAGAGAACTTGGTGGATGCGAGAGAGAGAGAGAGAGAGAGAGAGAGAGAGAGAGAGAGAGAAAGAGAGAGAGATGCAGTACGCGTAGGACCTAAATTTATTAGTTTCCTAATGTATTTGTTAGTTTCCTAGATTCTCTAGTTTTCTAAATTCTAGTAGGATTTCAACTTTTCCAGATTTCCAGATTTCTAATTTTAAGTTTCCTTTTTTATTTGGGTTAGGATTTCTGTTTAAGCAAGGGATTTTAATCCTATTATATCTAGATTTTAAATGCAGATTTGGATAGAGTAAAACTTCTCTTAAAACTATGTGATTTCTGTCCTTCCTTCTCGGTTCTCTGATTTCGGTCCTTTCTTTCGTCCCTTCGATCTATATTTTTGTCTCCTCGACCTCCAATATTCTTCTTGTTCTACTGTTCTGCCCTTTCTTTCGTTGTTTCGATCTATATTTTCATCTCCTCGATCCCTTATATTCTTCTATGTTCTATTATTTGAGTGCTTAATCTAATACCTATGGGCTGTACTACATCAGAGAGAGAGAGAGAGAGAGAGATTTCATGATGCAGGGCAGCGGCTGTCCAGCAACCCAAACAACCCAAAGTACAGAGAGAATAGAAGGATAAAGCTGTAGAATTGAAGTTGGAACGAAGAATTTTGATTTCTAGGGCTAAATTCCAAAACTCTTTGACTAAAGTCCGAAATTATATTGATTGAAAACTGAATACAAGAGTCTCTTAATAGCCTATTTATATTAGAATAAACCAGCGTAGAATTCCTATTCCTAGTTTACTAAGAAAACCTAATTGATAAATGAAATTAAAAACAAAACAAGAAACTAAACCAAATCCTACAGAAGATAGGAAAACAATTAATTTAATAATTTAATATAACTTAGCCCTTTTTGACTAGGATTGATGAGAATTTCTGCACAGGAAATCTATTAAATTCCAGTTATGTCCTTGCACAAAAAGATGCATGTAACTCTAAAATGAATAACTCAATCTAAAAGTTATTTTAGCCCTAGACTCCTAACCCAAGAGAAAATATCAGCTAGCACCATTCTTTGTTTGCATCATACATGTGCAGCCATACATAATCACATGCATGAAAGGCAAACATGTCTTCGTGCACACAACCGACGTATGTTCTCATGTAGAAATTTTGCCACAACCTTTTATTGGCTCGTTGGTTCTGGTATTCTTCAATATTCTTTGCCCAGTTGAATAAACTTGGGGCATTTTTCTGCACAGTTCTTTCTTGGAACAAGGGCACTACGTTTTAGACTCAATGGTTGGGATGTTAATGGAATGTTTATGGTAATTTCAATACAAATTTATAAATAAACCCAATCCTAGACGTGTATTTATAAAAAAACCCAAGCACTATTTAAACATAGAAACACACCCAAAATCAACCCCAAAGTCAACTTTTTTGGTGTGTTTATAAATGAGTTTTGAGTGTGTGTAATGATAGGTTTTGGGTGTGTTTATATGTTTAAATAGTACTTGGGTTTTTTTATAATTTCAACCCCCATTTTGGGTGTTTTAGTGAAACTCCCTAATTTCAACTGAACCAAAGAGTATGTACACGTGATCTCACTTTGTATCCTTGTTAAAGTTGGAAGAGGTCTTATTAGGCAGAATGAATGTATGTTGGGCACTGTAACTAACTCTTTTGACAACAAAATAAAGAAGAGGATGGAAGGCAATTTTATTTTACTTTTTCCTTTTATCTTTCAGTCAAGCAAGTCTCCGTGTTGTTATTTCTGTAAAAATTTGAATTGCCATGATATGTAGCTGCTTGCACATGCTCCTGGTATCTTAATGGGCTGATTAGAATTGTTTTTTTATATCCCATTTATCATCAATTGATTCCATAATCCTGTTAATGTGTAAGGTTTCTGCTGCAGGTTAATGTATTCAGGCAACAACTTGAAATTGCAAAAAAGTTAAAAAGGCCAGCATCCATCCACTGTGTTCGTGCTTTTGGAGACCTTCTTCAGATAATGAAGTATGCACACACACACACACGCACACACATATGTATATCTAATTTAAGTTTGGGTTTTTATATGTTTGTTAATTGTTTAGTTTGTAAAGATTATGAGTTTTTAGTACATGGGCATGATTATAACAACCAAGAACCGAACAAGCTATTGTCGATGGGAACCAAATTGAAAGTGGGCTTTTCACTGTGGTGCTGCTCGGTTACTATATCGCCTGAGTTTTTCCAATTTCTCATGTTTAAACTTAGAAGTTTTTTTCATGCATCCATCCGGCCAGCACCCCACCTGAAGCGGTTTCTTGCAATTGCAACCACTGGATTTCATGGCAGCTCATCTCTGTAATCCTTCGTATAGAGCCTTTACTTATGAGAAAAATGTTGTGCTCTGTGTTCTTTGACTTACTGAATAATGATTGCTATTTCATGGCCCGTAGGTTGATTCTGCAGTTAGATGTTTTCATGCAGAACAACCTTGGAGAAGGCATAATTTGCTTTTCCATGGCGTAGATGCTGCCTTCTTCTCTATTAATGTTAATTATAGCGTGTAATTGAGGTTTATCGAAACTACTTATCTATCATTGCCTCATATTATATTGTTTTATTTAATGCTTTCTAAAGATGAATAATTATCTCGTCAGATCTTTGGGTCCTTTTCCTGCTGGCGTCATTCTTCATTCTTACCTAGGTTCTGCTGAGATGGTTCCTGAATTTGCCAATCTTGGTGCTTACTTTTCTTTCTCTGGATTTCTTATGTCCATGAAAGTACACAAGGCAAAGAGGATGCTGAAGATGGTTAGTTCCATATTTAGGTTCTTGTGTACGTACACCATTAGACATTATTGGATCCAATTTTGTTTTTAATTTGTTCTTTCTAGGTGCCTTCTGAAAGAATTTTACTGGAGACAGATGCACCTGATGCATTACCCAAGTCTGAGTTAGATTCTGCGCATCTGGTTGAAGGAGCTTCCCTCCCTGAAGAGCTTCAGACAATAGAAATTTCCTCAGCTCCATTTGCTGGTGCAAGAGATGTATCAACATTTCCAAAAGAAGCACTAAATCACCCAGAAAATATTCACAAGGTAGTGTTTTACAGTACACATCTTGGTCATTAGTCGTTTTAAAATATATTAATTGTTGTTGTCATTGTAGTTTCTACGGCCACTGTTTAAACCCTAATCGATGTAGGATATGGATAAATTATAGATTTAGGTAGTTTAGTGGAAGTGAAAACACTGGAAAACAGAATTAAATGAACAAGGATAGGTCTGGAATCACTCCAGGGGCTTCGAGAATTCTCCAATCTCTGGAAGATGAGGCTAGAGTGAAAAGGAATTTACTAAAGCTGCTCCAGAATTGCAGGATTTGAAGATTGAATTAAATGATTTCCTCTTCCATCTCTTTTGTTTGTAAATCCTAATGGGTTTGACAAAGATGTCCTCATCAATTTTCCTGAGCTGAGAAGAACTCAACTCGGGTGAGTTAAAATTGTAGTAACATTCAGGAAAGCTGGAATTAGTGTGCAAACATATAGACTCATCTTCTGCCTTCTGAATCCGCTAGAATCAATGGGTTGTAGGAATTCCAACTGATCAGTTACACCTTTCTCTCCTTTGCTGAATCGTGATTCGGTCAACGGGCAACTTACCAGTGTCATCATAGGTTCAACAATCTCAGTAGATTCAATTTTAGAGTCCTCATCGCTAGCTGGAAGTTCAGGCGCACAAACTTCTTCCTTAAACTCACCTTGCTTGATTCTCCATGGTTTGTCTTGAAAACTTTCTCCTTGTTTAGCACTTATCAAATCATCAGTGGATTGACGTTCTTGAGATTCCAGGTTCTTTGAACAAACATCGACCATGTCAAATTTATCCACAAAATGGCGACTGGATGCTTCTATTTTGTCAAGATGACGTTCAATGATTCTGAAATACTCATCAAAGACGGTGATCTGATATGACACCTTCTCTGTTAGAGTTTCCAGCAATTGAACAATCTGTTCATAGACCATCTCGGGCTGGTCTGTCTTACTAGACTCAGTTGGAGATTTGAAAATTTCGAGCCCAAGGAAAAATGAAAACTAGGCTTTGATACCAAATTTGATGTAGGATATGGGTGAATTATAGATTTAGGTAGTTTAGCGGAAGCGAAAACAATGAAAACAGAAAATTAAACAATGGGTAAATTACTCAAATGGTCCTCAAACTTATACCTGATTTACATTTTGGTCCCTTAACTAAATTATTCGTTCAAATGGTCCATCAATTGTATATTAATCGCTCCATTGATCCTACCGTTACATTTTGTTATTGTTGCCGTCAAATGTAAGGGTAAAATCGTCCATAACCGTTATATGTTCCCCAAATAGGTGATAAAGTGATGATACATAGGTGATACATTGGTGATAAAGGGGTGATACATAAGTCAAAAGTCTTATTTACCACCATAAATGTAGCTTGTGCTGCTCACATGACTAAATTTAACAGAAAATGTAACGGTAAGACCAAAGCGCCGATTAATAAAGAGTTGGTGGACCATTTGAACAAATAATTTAGTTCATAGACCAAAACGTAAATTAGGTACAAATTTGAGGACCATTTGAGTAATTTACCCATTAAACAAATAAGGAAAGCTGCTCCAGAATTTCAGGATTTGAAGACTGAATTAAATGAATGTCCTCGTCACTAATCCCCTAAAATCTGGGAAGACTTGAATGTGTAAGTTTGGATGAGATATTTTCATTTGTAATGTCTGTTGACAAACATCTAAAACCAACTGTTTGACACATTTGGTTTTACATTGTATGATAGACATATCTAACGACCAATAAATTGACAAAATTTAAAACCAATTTGTCTGAGCTTAGATAATGTGTAAGAATATACAATTATACCTAATCATTTATAGTAAAAGATACAATTATGTTCGTGTCATTTTCATTTCAAGTGATTTCATTGGAAATTTGGCATGTAATATATAGCAAAACTATTTAGAACTTAGAAAAACATCCCATGTTAAAGTAGTAAACTTATGAATTGTTATATATATAAATTTTATAAAATTTTACACACACACACACACACACAAAACCTTGTTCTTGAAGGAAGTTGCAGTTCCACCCCAAAACCAATTGGCAATGGGAGAGTAGCCCAACTCCTTATAAGTCCACTATGATACCATGAAGGAAGTTAAGGTTTCATCCCAAAACAAATTGGCCATGGGGGAAGTAGCCCAACTCCTTATAAGCCATTCCAGGGTTTGTTAGTTTCTAATGCGGGATATTTTCACCTTCACATTCTCACAGTTCTTGTATCGTTTTTAGTTATGATATATGGTGGATAACTAACATGATAAGTGATGGTGATAATCTAATAAGTGTAATTATGTATAGATCCAACTATGTGTAACCCTTCATTTAGTTCATTATATATTGCAGAAGCCACTTAACATTTCATTAATGAATACTAAAGAGATGAATCAAATGTTCATTCAGATGTAAAATTAATAATTTCTTTTATTTTGTTAGAAAAAGAAAAGGGCAAGGTTCAGACATGCCTTTGTGATTAAATCTTTTTACGTGAATCTCTTGGACGAGTGTGTCTTTTGATACTTGTACCCTATGGTTAGGCTGCATAGAAAGGAGTAGTGTCTAAATTGACATTGACACTTCGAGGCCTCAACCGAATTATTTTATATATTTTTTAATGTTGACCAAATGTAGTTATTGCGGGGTTGAGAGTTCATGTATACATTGTAACATCCTTTATGTCAATGATTGTTTATTAGTTTATAATGTTTGTTTAAGCTTAATGGCTCCTATTCCAGGTACTCATCTATGTAGCATCTTTGGTAGAGATGACCAAAGAAGAACTCGCTGAAGTAACTTACCAAAATGCAGTACGCTTATTCTCTTACGATACCTGTGGCGGGCAATCTTAAACTAAGTGGGAGCCTAAGTATACTGTGTACTCCACTCAAGTTCTTGCTTCAGATATGGAAAGGCCGTATGGATTTTTGTGACGGGCTATAATAACAAAATCATGGTCGGAGATAGTGAGAGAGATGGTGGTGATGGTGGAGTATTTGCTCCTTTATTTTACCGGCCATGCGATTGAAGAGGTCCTTTGTTACAAAATGAGAAATACCTTGTAATTTTATGTAAAAATTTGAGTAGCTGCTGAATCTTTATGTTGGTAACTTTTTGTCAACCTTTTCTACTTTTTATTATTATCTACAATATCAAGGGTTTGATGTTCGGTGTGTGCTGGTGCGTCTGGGTTTTATGTTCTGTGTGTGAGGGAGAGAGAAGGTGGGGAAGGAGAAAATGGGAGAGAGGAAGAGGTCGGGCTGTTGGTGGGGTTGGGAAGTGCAGTGAGATGGGTTTGTTTGTTTTTAATTTTTAATTGTTGTTAATTTTAATTTCTATGTATTTGTTTTTAAATTTTTAATTAATTTTAATTTTTTTAGGCATTGGTTAGTTGTAGGTCTCACAGTAGATGCATCATCATTTAACGTCTAATCAAACAGTAAACTTAACGGAAGGTTTTAAATTGGTCAAATTTGAAAACATTGGGGGTGTAAATTGATGAAGTTGATACTCATACCCATATTGAGAATGATCCTAAACCTTCAGGAGTCAATTGTCATTAGCCCTAAAAAACCATGGAAGAGCAAAAAGAATAGAAGAAGAGCTTTTCGCAAACGAGATTGCCGGTGGCGATGTGAGGGACGCTGAGGTTGGAGAGGCTAGAGGCATAGGTGCCTTTTCTAACGTCTGGGAAGTCGGGGAAGACCCATGGACATTCATGTCCGTCATGTTGCATAAGAAGAGAATTTTTGTTGATGACAAAGGAAGGCGTTGTGACGTCAATTTCAGAATTTAGAAAAGATGAACGAAAGCTTCAGATTGAGAAAGAGCTCGCAACTCTTAATCTCAAAACATGGTTCAAAACCGCAATAAAAGTCCAATTTTAAAATAGAAGGTATCAAAATTCTAGAATGCCTGGTAATTTTCGCATTCGGTTATGAGTTTTGGGGTTTGGGGTTGGCTTGGTTATCGGGTTTGTGGGTAGGGAAGGTGGGGTGGTGGCGACTGTGGATGGGTGTGGTTTGGGAGATGTGGGGGAGAAAATGTTGTTTAAAAAATATATATATATAAACAATTTTTTTTTTAAAAAAAATTAGTTTTTATATATTTAAATAAATTTAATAAAATTTAAATGAATTAATTAAACATATTAGTCCATTAGACAAAATACAAGTGAGTGATAATACTGATTGTCACGTCATTATTTAACGAAGAATATGACGGTCAAGCTAAGAGAGGTATGAAATTTATAGGAAAATAAATGTTATGGCTGCGAGACGAAAAAAAATTTGATGCATGGAAGGCTAAAACTCAGTAAACTTCAACATAGTAAAAATGAAAATTACCCCAACAAAAAACTAGGTTTGTTACCTTATAATTGAAATTTATGTACATTTTTCATATATTGAAAATAGTTACCCAAAAATTTATAGGAAAAATACGTAGATTATGTATCGACTACCCCGAGGTTTATCGAGTTTTAGCCATTATTACATGAATTTTTTTTTTGTCTCACTTTCACACCCCAACTTTCATTTAACCAGAGTTTCATACCTATCGTTAATCTTTTCGGTAACAAGTCTATTAACTATTGATATGGCCCTTTTTGGTAACACAATATTTTACCAATAAGTTATAAAGATAGCCTATATCTTACGGGTAAGTAATAGAGTGAAAAGCCAATAGTTTACCTAGGATATGAAGTGTCCAATTTAGGGTTTATGATATATACCAAGCCTAAATTAAGATATATGAGTTTTTTCTTTCTTTTGTATGGATGACATGTGGAGGCTTGAGAATGAAAGAGAGACATTTATTTTTACAAGAGTAAATAAATAAAGTTTGTGATGAGTTGAAATTATATGCTTTGAGACAAAGTGGTGACTGTGGTGTCATTTTTGAGTGCAAAAGTGAAAACAGTTGCTGTCATTTTCGCATATAATAAGTGAGGGAGGGAGGGACATAGAAGTGAGCAACTGTAAGCAACATATGCCTAAAGCAAAAACAGTTCCAGACTATCACCTAATCTTACCGGAAAGTTATAGAGTGAAAAACCTATATATCTGAAAATGCAATATCTTACTGGTAACTTACAAAGTGGAAAGCCTATATCTTACCGGAACGTAATAGAGTGAAAAACTTATATCTTATTGGTAAGTTGTAGAGTGAAAAGCCTATGTCTTAGAGCAAGTCCACCACAAAGGCCTTTTGCTCGGGTAGGACAGAGCCTATGCCCTCGAAAGGCTCCAGCGCGCAAAGGCAAGCCTGGGCAAGGCGTGGGACCCGCTAACCTAGGCAAGCCCATAGGCAAATCCAGCACGTGCTACTGCCTGGGCAAAGTGATGCAATGCTGACGTCATAATGATGTTAGCAACCAATTTAAATAACAAAAAAATTGAAAAAAAAACCAAAAAATTCAAATTTTTTTTTTAAAATTTTAAATTATCAACACCTAGCCATATTCTTTACTTCCTACACTAAAATTATATACAAACTCATCTCCTCATATCTCATATGAATAGTAATTGCCCTTGCCCTTACCTATAAGGGTGGGAACAAAATTGCAAGGGCAGACACTATTCATGTGAATAAAGATATTTATGTTTGTGTCAGTTATGTTTTAGCAGATCTTTTGTGAGGATTTGAATCGAAACAAAAGATCTGCTAAATCATAGATGACACAAACTTAACCGGTTCAACAATACCTGCCTATACTCTGAGCTAGGGTTGACTGTGGTAGAGGCTATGAGTAGCCAATTTGATTGGAAAAAGTATGAAAATTCAAATTAGAGATTGATGATTCGAATGGACACAAAAGATATGAAAAAACATAAAAAATAAAATAAAAATGAACCGACTCAACAATGCCTGTTTGTTCCTCGAGCTAGGGTTGGTTGTGGGAAAGGCTAGGAGTAGCCAATTTAATTGGAAAAAGTATGAGAATTCAAATTAAAGATTGAGGATTCGAATGCACACAAAAGATCTGCAAAAAAAGGTAAATGAAAAAAACTGAACCGACTCAATAATACCTATTTGTACCTTGAGGTAGGGTTGACTGTGGCAAAGGCCAAGAGTGGCCAATTTAATTGGAAAAAATTGAGAATTCAAATTAGAGATTGAGGATTCGAAGGGACACAAAAGATCTGCTAAAACATAAATAAAAAAACTAAACTGATTCAACAATAACTGTCTACACTGTGAGTTAAGGTTGACTGTGGCAAAGGCTCGGAGTGGCCAATTGGATAAGAAAAAGTATGAGAATTCAAATTAGAGATTGAAGATTCGAATGAACACAAAAGATATGCAAAAAAAAGTTAATGAAAAATACTGAACCGACTCAACAATACCTGTTTGTGCCTTGAGTTAGGGTTGAAGGTGGCAAAGGATAGGAGTGGCCAATTTAATTGGGAAAAAAAAATTGAGAATTCAAATTAGAGATTGAGGATTCGAATGGACACAAAAGATCTGCTAAAACGTAAATGTAAAAAACTGAACCGACTCAACAATACCTGTCTGTACTATGAGCTAGGGTTGAATGTGACAAAGGCTAATAGTGGCCAATTGGACTGGATAAAGCATGAGAATTCAAATTAGAGATTGAGGATTCGAAGCAACATAAAAGATTTGCAAAAACATAAATGATACCAATTGAATCGATTCAACAATACATGTATGTACTGTGAGCTAGGGTTGGCTAAGGGAAAGGCTAGGAGTGGCCAATTTGATTGGAAAAAGTATGAGAATTCAAATTAGAGATTGAGGATTCGAAAGAACACAAAAGATCTGCTAAAAAACGTAAATGAAAAAAACTGAATCGACTCAACAATACCGGTTTGCACCACAAGCAAGGGTTGATGGTGGGAAAGGCTAGGAGTGGCCAATTTGATTGAAAAAAGTATAAGAATTCTAATTAGAGACTGAGGATTCGAATGCACACAAAAGATCTGCTAAAAACATAAATTATACAAACTGAACTGATTCAACAATACCCATTTGTACCTTGATTGTTTTTTTTTCCAATTAAATTAGCCACTCCTAGCCTTATCAGAAAAATAGGCTATTTACTTAATATATTACGGGTCAGATATTGCGTTCTCAGATATGTAGGCATTTTACACTATAACTTACCTGCAAGATACGATGTTTTCAGAAAAATAGTATTTTCATTCAATAAATTACAGGTAAGATATTGCGTTATCAGATATATAGGCATTTTACACTATAACTTATCTGTAAGATATTGTGTTTTCAGAAAAATAGGCAATTCACTCAATAAATTACGGGTAAGATGTTGCGTTCTCAGATATATAAGAATTTGACACTATAACTTACTAGTAAGATATTGTGTTTTTAGAAAAATAAGTTATATAGTGTTTTTGGAAAAATAGGGTATTTACTCAATAAATTGCGGGTAAGATGTTGCGTCCCCATTTATATAGGCACTTTATACTATAACTTACCGGTAAGATATGGTGTTTTCAGAAACATAAGCAATTCACTCAATAAATTATAGGTAAGATGTTGCGTTATCATATATAGACATTTTGCACTATAATTTAGCAGTAAGATATGGTGTTTTTAGGAAAATAAGGTATTTACTCAATAAATTACGGGTAAGATGTTGCGTTTTCAGATAGATAGACACTTTACACTATAACTTACCGGTAAGATATTGTGTTTTTAAAAAAATAGGCTATTTACTCAATAAATTACAGGTAAGATGTTGCGTTCTCAGATATATATGTACTTTACACTATAACTTACCGGTAAGATATGATATTTACAGAAAAATAGACAATTTACTCAATAAATTACGGGTAAGATGTTGTGTTATCAGATATATAGGTATTTTGCTGTATAACTTACGGGTACAATATGATGTTTCTAGAAAAATAGTCTTTTCACTCAATAAATTACGGGTAATATATTGCGTTCTTAGATATATGGGCACTCTACATTATAACCTACCGGAAAGATATGAAGTTTTCAGAAAAATAGGCAATTCACTCAACAAATTGTGGGTAAGATATTGCGTTCATAGATTTATGGGCACTTCACACAATAACTTACCAGTAAGATACGTTGTTTTCAGAAACATAGGCTTTTCACT